TTTGAAAAAACTGTACATAGGAGTAGGAGGTGAGAAGGTGTATCAAGTGGGCATTAAAGATAATTTGCTCTAGTTTGTTGTGAGTAACTCTATATACTTGTATTCAAACCTGTCTTTTTCCCCTATTTTTTCTTTTAATCTCTATTAACCAACTGCAAGTCAATGTCCTAAACACACAAAACAGATAATTCAAGTGAACCTGACATTGCTTTCTACTGCAGTTATTGATTTGTAAATTGCTGGGACAAGTTGGCTCCAGTTCTGCTGTGACTTTATCATGGCCAAAGTCAATGAATTTCTGGCAAACCTCTTTACTTGGTGTCTTTTGGCACACTGGATGTAAAATATTCAAATAAAACAGGTTGTTTTTACAGTATTAAGGCAGAGTTCATATTATTGTAATGGTAGTCAGTTATGGATAACTCGCAATTTCCTGTCTAGGAGACTTTCCCCATTTTGGATATAAATTATTCCAAAGACGACATCTTTTTTCAACAATACAGAAATTATTCCTGAATGGGTTCATGCCAGGACAATTCAGATGTTTTTCTTAGTGATCTTATGCACTTATTTCAAGACAGATATAGATATATTAACGAAGATGTTATATAGTTAGGCATTTAAAATTATAATATTTCAATAAGCATTAAAAAAGTGCAAATTTATTTACATCTGATAGTCTGATAGAAAGGTGGCGGCGGTAAGTACATGGTAATGTATGGTATTGAACCATTTAATAGTATTAACTAAAAACATACAAAAATAAAAAAAAAATTTTCATTACTTTTAATGGAAACTAGAGGATCAGAGAGGCGATACCGCCTCCGGATATTGTACCACCAGCTGGAGTAAGCGCATTCGTATGGAAAACCAAAAAAAAAAAAAAAAGGGACACCACCTCCAGTCTTATGCTTAACAAGCTCTATAAAATGAAATCAACAAGAGTTCTCAAAATATTAAAAAAAAAAAGAAAAAAAAACAACATAACTAAAAATGGTCCAATCATGCAGATTTTGGAATTGACCTGTATTTTCCTAACATTGATCACTCCTGTGATTTTCTAGACAATAGACCTATTGGTTTTCCTTGAAATGTGTTATCATTGTTGCATCTGTAGTATGCTGACAAAAGAGTAAACCTTGGGCAACACTATGGGCATATCTCTGCTAGTTTTGAAGATATGAGGGGCAAGAAAATATGCAAAGTTAAGTTCTTGGTGAAAAAGTAGGTCAAAGGTCAATTTCAAAGTCACAGTATATGACTTCCTATTCAAGTTCAATAGTAACCATGGGAATTTCTTTGCCAATTTTGGAGATATAAATGCCAGAAAACATGCAAGGTGCAGTTCATCATAAAAAGTAGGTCAAAGATCAATTTCAAGTTCATAGTTAGATTGCCAGTATATGACTTCCTATTCAAGTTCAACAGTAACTTTGGGTGTATCTCTGCCAGTTTTCGAGATATAAAGGATAGAAAATTTGCAAAGTTCAGTTCATGGTGAAAATTAGGTCAAAGGTCAATTTCAGGGTCACAGTTAGATTGCAAGTATATGACTTCCTAATCAAGTTCAATAGTAACTATGGT